AAATTTTTTTATCAGCGAAATCAATTTTTCCTCTCGTTTACCTTTCTAATTCTAGCAAGGCTGCCAAAATTCTCGCTGCTAAATGCACCCTTGCTGCTAGAGTTGATTCACTTCACGAGTCTCCAAATGGTGCCATAGGAATGCATTTGCTCGACCAGGTTAGCTTACTACTTCTTCTCTTCGACATGTTTTATGAATTGTGCTATGACAGGTTCGGACTAAAATGGAAAAACTTTTGGAACCTCCACCTGTAAAAGCTAGTAAGGCTTTGCCAAAACCACTGGATAAAGCGAGCAAGAAGAGAGGAGGTCTTTGACTCTCTAGTTTGCTATCTGTTTCTTAGTGAAATGTGATCTAATGAAAGGTTTCAGGGCGCCGTGTGCGTAAGATGAAAGAGAGGATGGGTATGACAGATCTGCGCAAGAGCGCCAATCGCATGAATTTTGGAGAATTAGCTGAGGATGTGCTACAAGACCATATAGGGTTTGATTTGGGTCAAGTGAGTTTTTCTCGAGATGGGTTCATCATTTCTTGCATTTCTTCATTTACTCTATGTGATAGCTGGCATCTTCTTTGCTTGACTGTGTATAAGTATGACCTATAACCTATAATTAAATCCTGTGGGGCTTTATCGTTTTCATCAACTTCTACTTCAATTTCGCGTATCGTTATGTCTACCTCTCGCTTGAACCTTGTAATGTGTGGATGCCTTCAAACAAGATTGTTGAGGAATACTCAAAGGTGGAACCAATGAGGAACGGAAATACCAGAAAATTGGTTGAAGAAAAAAAGCTTATTTCGAGTTCTATCCCTTGAATCCTCTTTTCTCTTCTCGGCATACATTTATGGATCCTGTAGTTTTTTTTACCAAATGCATCCGAATAGTCGGGCATGCTAACAACATGGCTTCGGATGAATTAAGAGTTTTTGATTCTTTTCCTCAGTTGAGAACAAAACTAATGCGCACAGTTTAAATAGTTGTTTTAGCCCTACAGTTATCGTTTCGCTGTGACAGCTAGCAACCGCGTCGCTTCAGTGTCTGTTTTCACTTAGAAGCATGTGTGTGTTTTATGATCGTGTTTAAACGATTTGATGGCGGGTTATGTTAGTTTAATCTCGTTTTCAAGAAAATGAACAGATTTGCTACAAATGCTACCAGACTAAAAACTAGGGTATAAGCTAGACTACGTTACCCGCTCGGTTCTGA